TTACACCCCAATTTAGAAACACATCAATTCCTTGCTTAAAACTCTCCAGCAAGTTTCCTAACATTTAGAATAAAGTTCACACACTTTACCAGGGTCTGAATCCTGCTTCATCTGGTTGGGTGTTCTCCTTGCCAGTAACAACTCTAGCCATTTCGTCCTTATTCATTCTAACCATATTAACCATTATTGGTGTTCTTTCTTCATTTCAAATCTCCAATAAGTCAAACTATCCCTGTTCTTTCAACTTAAAGCACCTCCAATTGCTTTCTGCATCTTTCCATGAATTGTCATTTCCTGACCCTCTCCTCTGCTCTGCTTTTTTCATAATTATCACTGTCTGAAATTTTATTACAGGTTGTACATGTGCTCTTGTTTTGATTGATTGATGTAGATATAAAGCTCAGCACCATGAAGGTTAGCATTTTGTTTAAAGTTGAATCCCTCATACCATGGTAAACATTAAATAGGTATTTGTAAAATAATGAGTTGTGCTAGATGGTTTAAAAATATATATATATACCAAATACAATGACTGTTTTTTTAGAATTCCTGGATTTTCAATCTGCAACATAATGAAGTGAAAGTTTGTACCAAGTCAAGGAAATTGGTTTCATTTTGTTACGCCCATAAGCCCCAGAGAGGGTAACTGCAAACTAGCTGGACTGAAGAGTATGCTCTGTCATTTCTTCTGTGAGCCCCAGAGGTATCTCCCTTCTGGCAGATTCTCAGGCAGGAAGGGGACTAACACAGAATTTCTGTTAGGGAAGTGTGTAAACAAGCCAGAAGTTTGCCTCTTCTTGTCATCTGCATGAATAAAATGCTTCCACTGGGATACCCCAAAGAAAGAGGCATTCTCGGTTCAAAATGAGGTAACTTCTTAGCAAAGTGATTCTTGACAGATGGTTCAGAGCGAATTCTTTGGAGAAAGAAAAGAGCAGGATGTTTTTTACAGCTGTTTCCCCCCACTCTAAGTCATAAGGAGGAGGAGTAAGAGGGCCTTTTTTTTTTTAAGCTATGAAAAAGGTTTTTTTGAGAAGAGCATTTAGACTGATGATTCCTATGCAATATCTCCATTGTAATAAGGGATATAAAAAAATTGAAAAAATTCTTAGTGGTAACCCAAATATCTTTTAACCACAAATAATAATCTCACTCCCCCAAAGAACCATGTCCCCCAAGGAAGGAGTTGGCAGTTACCTTCTGCATGACAGTACAGGGTTGGCAACTGGAGCCTGAAATTCCATAGCAGAGGAGTCCAGAACGCAGGGCTTGCATTGAGACGGCAGAAAGACCTACACTGTAGTTCACAATCAGATTCTGGAAGCAGATCTTCAGCAAAGGTAGAATGTAGTCTCCACAGTAACCTCAGGGAGCAATCAATCATTAGAGTTTAGATCATCTTGTAATTCTGGAGACCAGAAGTCCAAAAGTCAGTCTCACCAGGCAAAAATCACAGAAGCTAGTTTTTTCAGCTTCTAATGGCTTTGCTGGTGACACTTTTTCCATCTTCAAAGTGTATCACACCAATCTCTGCTTCCTTGGTCTCATCATTACCTTCTTTCCCTCCACTTCCATTTACATAGACAATTGTGATTATATTTAGGGCCTACTTGGATAATCCAAGATCACCTCCCCAACTCAAACCCTTATTAGGTATGCTTGCAAAGTTCCTTTTGCCATATAAGCTAAAATTCACAGATTCCAGGGATTTGGATCTGAATATCTTTGGGGTCATTATTCTGACTCTCATACTATATAAATTATATACAGATTGAAGGGCTTCAGGAGGGGCAGACAAGCCTCCACAACAGGTAGGAACCCCTCACGGCAGTGCTCAGTCTACGTACAAATGACAGCAGTTGATGGCAGCTGCAAAAATGAGGGGCTTGGTTGAAGAAATGAGCAAAAACCATGAGGGTATTATGAAACCCAGACCTTCTTAGGGAGCCTCAGTAACATCTGGGGAGAGGATCCTATATTGGTACTTGCAGCTGTTATGACTAAGTAATAAGTGATGTTACATCAAGCCAATGCAATGTCACAGCACTCTTAACTATTGGCTGGAGGGCAAATGTTCAGATTTGAGGATATGTCATCATGGTTACATGGGTTGCTTCCTTAAAATATTATATATAAGGATATGATCCCCCTCCCCCCCTTTAGGGTCACAAAGTTCTTTCAATATACAGAGATATGTCTAGACTGCCATTTTAAGACTTTAGCTGTTTTTCTGGGTGGATTTAAAAAATAATGGCACTAATTCACAGATTCTAAAAATTTCCACGTATGTCCATATAAAGTTGACCTTCTTTGTTCTGTTTTTTTTTCCAATGCTGTTAAAAAAAAATGTACTCATTAGCTTGTTTAACATTTACTGTTGTTCACATTTTCCTTGAAATTTATGGAAGACTTTAGTCATCCGCTTCCTAAATAAAAAAGGTCAGAGAGTTATAGGAATTCATTTTAATGCTTTATACTGAGAACTATTGATATTATAAGCCTTGGTTTCTACAAATGCACTCCCAACAAACCATCTATTAATTTTAGTTCTCTGGTGTAAACATTTCAGAGAACCCAATTTGAAACAGTCATGAGCACCGAATTCTCTATCAATATCCTCTGAACTTCATCTTAGTGGCTAGTTTTGGGTACTTTCTATAATTGTTAGTGATGTTTGGAAGCTGACAGCCCCATTTGATCCATCTTCTCAAATTGTTGCCTTTTGGTTTTAGGAGAGAGAGTCAAATCCCAGAAATTTTGGGTGCTTAGAATTCTCATTATGATGTAGCTAAAGGATGGAGTATTGTCCTCAAACATACCTTTGTGCAATAGTAGGCACAGAGAAGATAAAAGAACAATTAAGTAGTTACCTTTGATTTCATTTGAGGTGGCCCTTCTAATCTTTAAACAAAGATGATGTTACCTCACATACCACCACCAAAACACCACCACGAGTAACACCACCTGCAGGGGGAACCATGCGCTTTTTTTTTTTTTTTTATTTAAAGGTTTTATTTATTTATGCATACAAGAACTGGGGTCTGTACAGGCCAGAGGTGTGGTGGTGGCTGGGAAGATCACTAAAGACAGAGTGGGGAACAGAACAGGCTGATTGACTGAAGCACTCTGCTACAGGGAGCAGCAAGTGAGACAGGGGAGGTCAGTGCTATTAATGTTTGAGAACATCTGGTTCATTTAGGAAATTATTTATCACTTAATGGTTGCATATGAGGAGGGGGCATTTATTTGGCTTACTAGTATTGACCATAAACAAAAAACAATCCATTGTTTCACCAATAAAATGGATATTTTTGGAAATATCAACAAAAAGGCAACTTGGAAAGTGGAGTCTTATGGTGAGCCATTTGTGCTCCTCCCTAGGACTCAAGGTGGCACCCTGTAGATTCTTTGAAGGAGATCCTGCTGAGTAAAGAGGATTGCTTTCTTTCTTTGGTGGGGGTGGAGAGGAATGTGTGGAGAAGTAACATCACTTCCTGTCAAAGACACAAAGCATGTTGGGTCCTGTAGTCTGCTAATTACTAATTGTGTTTGCAATGGACCTCTCTTATATGCCCACTACTCTCATTTAATTAGGGTTTATATATGCTTATTTTCATACCTGACAGCACCAGGAAGGTCTGGAAAATCATTAAAATCACTGATCCCATCATAGAGGGATCAAAAACCTGAGTCATGGCTCTCCCTGGTGGCCCAACCAGTAGGATGCAGCACTGCAAGCTAGCCGCAGCCTCTTCAGTGAGAGTTCAATTCCCAGCCCCGGAGGTGACCCACATGGCATGGCAGACTTCTCCTGTCTCACCCACCCTCTGCTCCCCTCAGAAGTGTACCTCATAGATCTGCTTGTTCTGCTCCCCACTCTGTCTCTGGTTAATCCTCTCATCCCGGTACTTCTAGCCTGTACCCCAGTTCTGTATGCATAAATAAATAAATCTTTAAAAAAAAAAAACTGACTTTTGGCATCTAATTTGAGATTAAATCTCAGTGCAACACTCATTCCTTGTGTGATCCTGAACAACCTCTCTGTTTTGAAATTCAGTTTTCTCATCTATAAACTGAGCATGATACTTGCCCCTAAATTGGAGGGTTGTAAGGACTGAGCAAGGCAATCTCTGTAATGTGCTCAGCTCAGCCCCTGATATATGGAGCTGCTCCTCACTGTAAATTTTTTTCAACAACTTTTCTTCTGTGTCCTTTCTCTTATTTTTCCCCCTACTCATGAGATGATTCCTTTAATCACATAGACTTGTCTCATAAGGGTGGTTTCTGTTTCTCCTCATTTTCCTCTTTTCCTATCAAAACCCACTCTCAGATAAGACTGCTATTATTGATCTCTCTTTGTGTTTTCAGATATTTGGCTACCTATCCAGGGATATCACTCCTGTTAATACATGATATCAACCCCATTAATGTGTGAAAAGTATTTTTCAATAAAAATTAATTTTAGTTTTTAGAAACAATAAATGAAATGCTTCCCTATAGCCTATCTACTAGGTCAAGTGCTTCCTGGTCCAAAAAGCCTTCTCCTTTCACTGACAGTAGCAGGAGCAACCCCTCTGATACCACTGAAATCTGAATACATAGGTCTACACCCCTTATCTGGACAGACCACCCATTATGGTTTTGTTATCTCTCTCCTCTGCTTTCCTAGGGTGGGGCAGCTGTTCCAGTGAACAAAGGACTTGGTATCTTTCCACTAATGTTCCTAGTGACCCGAAGTAAGGCAACCATGTAAGGCAAAGGAAGAGCAGTGATAAACAACTTTTAGCAGCTCTTCCCTAAAATCTTCTAATCTCCAAGCCTATTCTGTTAGTTCCCAGGGGGGTAGAATGAGCTAAACTTGGCTTTCAAAGAAACCAGGAATGTCTCTGCTAAACTCCTTTAAAGTTTCCAGAGAAGGTCAGAAGTGGGGAGGGGGGTGAACAACCACCTCAAGGATCTTAGGAAAGGATCTTTCCCTTTCCATGAATTTGTTGCTCCCTGTACCCATAAGTGATTTCCTAGAAACAGCCTGAGCTAAATTTTCAGAGCCTTAGGGTCTGACCCTGGCTCTCACACCAAACAGCTGTGTGACCTTGAATGTATCTCTTCCTCAATCTGGGCTTCAGTTTCAACAACTGCAAAACAAAGGGTTTGAATTGGATAGTCTCACAATTGAGGGAGGAAAACTGGATTAATTCTTTGTGGATACATCCCAAAATTTATCCTTTTTTCAAGAAACAGGACTTATTTATTTATAATTTCTGGCCATCTCACAAATTCTTTAGCATTCTTTTCCACAACAAACATGGAAGCTGTTTCACGCTCGAGGGCTTTGCTGTGGTGACTGCCACATTGCCAAGTTGTAGTGTCTTTGATTAAAGACATTTTTTAAACATGTACTCATTAAGCAAAATCTCTGGTTTCCTCATAAATCTGCCCTTCCCTTTTCCTTACTGAAATGGTTGATTTTACAAAATCATGTCTTCAACCTTCTGTGTATGAATATGTACATCTCTTTGCATGTTGAAAGCATTTCAAGAACAGAAAAGAAACACATACCCCCAAGTGTCACTTTGCTGGGTTTACCACCTGTCTTTGGAGAAGCCACCAGAGAACCAGGCTACAGCTCACGGTGCATCAGTCACTAATCTGAACATGGAGTGGTATCGCAGGTCTAACTCTCAGTTCACTTTGAATTTGTTCATCAGTTTATCCTTGATTGTGTGCAGGCATAGACAGGTTCTCAGATTTCAAGTCTTGGCATCCAGATGAAGTACTAATGGCTTTACCAGAGCAGAATTGTATATATAAAAAAAAAGATATAAATCAGTTAAACTTCTCTTTAGGATGAAGAGGAATGTTTGTAAGCAACTGGAGTGTGAGTTAGCACTATTCTTACAATTCATATGGTCATGGAAACAGCATCCATCCAGTGCTCACTCAAGAGCTGTTGGCTATAACTAGGGAAAGAACTGGGGTGGAAGCAGGGACCGCAGGGGAAGAAGATACAGAAATGACAGAACATTATGGTCGATTATTAGTGATACACATTTTTTAGATTTTGCTTGGTAACACAATACTTTCATTTACTGTAAAATCACAAGCAAACACAATGCTAGAAAATTTACAGATAGTTAAATAAGTAAAAAGTTGATACATTTTAGGCTGAAATGCAGAAAGAGATTTGTTGTCACATAGAAAAGGCTCCTATTTAATACAGTCAGCTCTTATTTAGCATTCCTAAAGGAAAAGAGGAATTTAATAACAATAAATTTTATCATTTCATTATTTTTAGTCTAAAAGCTAAGTTTCCTCTTGACTTAAGAATGTAATATATGGTTTCCTAAAAGAAAAAAGAATTACTTTTTAAGCCATATTTGGTTTAGGCTCATATTTTAGTTTTCATGCGAATTTAATCAAAATATGGTGATTCAACTATATGGTAAGTCTGCTAGATAAGTGGGAAGAAATATGTAGGTTTTTTAAAGATATATTCCAGGAAATATAGTTTTCTGCTAAAAATAAAGAGTTGACTGTATTTGGGAGGAGTAATGCCATTCAGGAATCAGTCTTCTAAATGTACCGTGATAGAATGAATCAAGAAGGAAAGGACAAGTCTGCTTTCTAGCTGTACACACTTATGAGCATAAAAGATCAAGAAACATATCACACTGCCCAGATTCATGCTGGCTGGGGAAACATGATCAATAATTTCATGAATACAAAGATACTCTGTAAGCTTTCTAAAACCTTAAGTTCATTTTCTGACTGCAGACCAATTCACCAGTTGCTTTTATACACTGCCACCAAATTTGACTGCCTAGTTGTATCAACATGTTATTAAGAACGTAATGATGCATATAGTGCTGGTAAGAGGGGTAAAAGAATCATTCACAGAGTAATTAAAGGGGGAGATGATGAGGTATCTAGATACATAAAGTAGAATAACAGATTTGTCCTTGTCCAGTCATAACATACAGTTAGTACTTCATTCTTTTGATTACTCATGTTTGAATGAGTTTTCCCACAGATTATCTCATTAGTAATTCACAACCACCTCATCAGTAGCTATATCAGATATTATTTTTGGTCCCTGTGAGGGGCTTTACTGGGGTCACACAGGGGATGGATCTTATTGGCTCCACAATTCCAAATGCATAATTCAAAATACCAAACGAGGAAGGTGGGTTAGAAAGTGGGATGAGCCCCAATATGCCTGTGATGTGAATTAATCTCATTGTTGAGTCCTGACCTGCCATTTATATATCTTTTTCTTTCCTGGGGGCCCAGGGCTCTGTAACTGACCTTCATCATTGCTACAAAATCACATGACTTCATTCACCTTGAAGAGTAGGAAGGTGGTAGGTTAGCCTTCCCAAAAGTAGTTCCAAGCATTAATCCCAAGGAATAATTTCTATAATGGGATTCATACACCAGGAATAAAGACATCTTGTTCTCAAATCATATGTGGGGGAGAGAATTTGGACAGAACTTGGCCATGCATAGTGGCATTTCCATGTGCATGCATGTAAGGCTCCTCACAGTGAGATCCAGGACAAGGGAGAAGAGACTTGCAGAGAGAGTGAATCCGGAGCCTATTTTATATTCTTGGCCTAACGTTACAAGTGCTAAAGGTAAAGTCAGCCTAAGAACAATCCTAGAGATGGGCTACACCAATGTCTGACAAGTAGCTGCAGAGTTCCTGAAAAAATGTCACCTTGCAAACATATGTACAACAGTCCTAGATGCCTACTTGGGTTCCTTCGGCAAACTCCCTTATTTCAAACTGTTATGACCCAACATTTTTTGTACTTTAACCCCTATTTCTTTTTGCCAACTTTATGGTAAACACTTACAGGTTTCACCAGTGCCTACTCTTTGCACAAATTAGACATTTCATGATTGTCAGCCACTGATGGTGTCTAATTTTATAAATTCTGAGTCCCTTCAACTTTGGATTCACACAGTTGTCCATTTACTCTGCCCTCTACATACACAAAGAGTTCTTGTTGAGAGTGTGTATCTAGGCAAACCGATTCTGGTCCCCAAGGTTCTGTCTGAGCTTATACTTTAAAACGATCGTTGGGTTATTTCAGTCGGATGCAGTCCACCTCTTCTGTAGCAGGCATCCCTGTGGTTTTGAGATCAAGATCGGCACTTGACTTACTCCCATTGTAAGAAGCCTTCCAGTGGAGCAGCATGATCTTCCTGAAGTACTTGATGGTGTTGTTCTTGACGGTCACGAAGCACAGGGTATTAATCATGCTATTGCTCATGGCAATACATTCAACGATGTAGAAGGCTGTAAGATAGTGCTTCTCCTTCACGAAGACGGTGGGAAAGAAGTCACGCACGATGGTGAAGCCATAGAAAGGCGCCCAGCACAGCACGTAGGCGGTGAGGATGCACATGAGCACCAGGACAGTCTTCCGGCGGCAGCGCAGCCGCTTCCTTATCTGCTCAGTCTGAAAACCAGGGACCGCCTTGAACCAGAGCTCTTGGGAGATCCTGGCATAGCACAGGGTCATGGTGATCACGGGACCCATGAACTCGATGCCAAAGATGAAAAGGAAGTAGGACTTGTAGTATATCTGCTGGTCCACTGGCCAGATTTGGCCACAGAAGATCTTCTCCTGGCTCTTGACAATGATGAGGACAGTTTCTGTTGTGAAATAGGCTGAAGGGATGGCGATGAGGATGGATACTAGCCAAACCAAGACGATCAAGCCAGTGGCTGTTTGATACTTCATCCGGGGTCTAAGTGGGTGGACAATGGCCAGATATCTAGGGCAGGAATACAAATGGAGTTAATTACTATGATAAAAAAGTGCTGTTAAGTGGTAATATTGTTTTTTGCAAGTGTGTTATGAGATGCAAACCAAATTACAGGAGTGGAGGTAGAGTGCAATGGTATGTTACAGATTTCTGAGAAAGGCAGATTTTAATGCAAACCCTAGCTCCACCTTTAATTAGCTATTCAATCTCAAGGTAGCTTTGTTTAATCTTTCAATTTTCTTTTCTGCAAAAAGGTTTTGTTGTGTAAGCATAAAATGTGCAAATGTAAACAAATCCTAGCACAGTTTTTAACATGCTATATACATATGCTAGCAATTTAACTGAATATAGTGATAATATTTCCCATCAGTTTCTAGCCTGGCACTATCCTTAGATCCTCCCTGTTTTCAGGGTGATTCATTATAATTACCCTGCAGCTGAAAGCTAAAAGAGCTTGATAATTCAGAGTTTTTGGGAAAATCTACCTTTCCTGATGGAAGCAGTGGGCAAAGCTTTGTCTTTGTTCTACATTGATAAAACACTACTCAGCGTGCAAAGGTAGGGGAAGGCATGAAATTACTTATCTGATTTCTCCAGTAGGAGAAATGGAGGCTGGTGTGCGATGAGTGACTTTTTGAGGTCATAAACCACAGAGCATTTGATAGAAAACATTTAACACTATCTCACATAGTTTATGTGAAAGTCAATTGAGAATATCCATGGACATATTTTTTAACCACAGAGTATCAGATGGTAAAAGATGTGGCTTTTGTTCTTTAAAAAAAAATAACAACAACAAAAACAAAACACTGCTATTACCACAGTGGTCCAGGAACAAGAGAGAGCACTTTCCTGGGGGACGTGAATCATTTGTATGGTATGAAAACCTCATTCCCAGAGAGAGTGCTCAGCCTTGTGTTGAGAGCTCTAGTTTCCTGGAAGACTTTCAGTGTCTGGCAAGGGGTAGAAGTTGAAGAAGGAAAAAGAAAATGAACTGGAAGGGAAGAACTAATCAAAATTGGAAATAAATACATTCTCATTTGTCCATAACTTACCCCAGGTAATGAAGAGCAAGTGTGACAAATGTCCGAAGGGAAACCAGAGCAATTCTGTTCACTTTGAACCCAATCCCATCAAGGTCAATTTTCTTGGGATTTTGATTTGGAGAGGAGGTTCATTCACAGTTGTTTTGTTTCTGATCATATTACAGTTGTTTCTACCACTACTCCCCCCCCCCCCAACACACACACACTCACACTCCTCCCCCGCCCCCCATACACACAGGCAGCCAACTCCACTGAGTGTCTCCTGGAGAGATTACAGGAATAAGGCTCCTTCTCTCTCAGACCTCCCAGATGCTAGATGAAGTTGGAAGGGATGGGCCCACCCTCTGGACACCCAGCTGGGTGCTGAACATTCCCTACCACCATCAAGTACCCGTCACTCTCGATAATGTCTTATGTGCCGAAGGGTGGAATGGTAATGTCTGCTGCTGTTGGCAGTGTTTTTGTCAACGCACATGCTTCAGGCAGACCACAGGGTCCCTGCTGTAATGAAGCAGCAAACTTAGTCTGGCAGAATGAAAGCAAAGAGTTTAGTGGCTGTGTTCTTACTAAGCTTCCTCCTCTCTATCTGACCACTGTGTTCTGCTGATTCCTATGATATTTTTATATTAATACATGTTTGTTATATGAATTTTCACTATATAATTCTATTCATTCTTTTTCCAGTAGTAACTTCCTAAGTTTTTATTGTATTTCAAACTTGTTTTGTTTTGTTTTGAGTGAACAAAAAGGAGAAAATGCTAATTTTGGAAAATTGAACCTCAGCTTTGCAACAGACTTGCTATGTGAAGCTGAGGCATTTTTCTTAGCCCTGTGGACTCAATTTCCTCATATGTAATCTGGAACTATCAGCAGCCTCCAGCCTCGAAGAGATACTGTGAGGAACCAACAAGACACTCCAATGAGGCAATTAAACAACAGTAGGATACTACTGCACAAGAAATTGTTGGTGTCCAAAAAAGTATTTTCCAGAGCTATTCTGTGTCCATACCAATTTTTTAAACAAATTACTAGCAAAACCTATATCCATAAGTTCTCTACTATTCTGTTTACTGGGATCATTTTATTGATTATATTTACCTTCATTTCAATATTCATCAGGGTAATTAATCTGTGACTACCTGTCAGATAGATATTTCATCCTGGATCTCCCTGAAACTACCCAGCTCTAGCCCAGGAACTGGGCAGAAGGCCTTCCAAATACCTTTACCAGTGGCAAACTGAAGAAAACTGTTTTATTGATTGTTATCAGCCTCAGCTATACTATAGGATCAGAACGCTAGAACACTGGTAATTGGACTACTTGATCATGATTACAAAGCAGCTTACAATTTACAGGGTAATTTCAAATCTACTTTCCCAACTGTGCTGAATGGGTAAGAGAGCACAGAAGACAGTTTTACAGACATGCAAACTAATATTGGGAGGCTAAGTAACCTGTCAAAGGCCACACATCTAGAAATGAGCAGAGCCATGATTCTGATACATACCTGGCTCCAAGCCCAGTGGACTCTTCAGTTCACCATTTATCTCCTCTCCTTGCACACAGAACAAGAAATATCACCCATGCTCCAGGTAGCCTAGCAATCCCACTCTTCTTTTCTCTCCATCATTGTTTATTTCTACCTTTGATGTTCCAAGAAGGATATGAGGCAATTGGCAGCTCCAGCTCTCTTTTTATGAGTTTGCCCTTGGCTTGCCCTGGGTATCTACCACTACAATGGCTCATGTCCAGATCCAATTAGAGAACAATGAATAAAAGCTACTGACAAAGAAATGTCCAGGCAGTAATTGCATGATGATAGTGGGCTGGAGGAAAGCAGAGAACATCTGGCTCTTTCTTTGTCACCAGGACACCCCCTCAGATCTAATCATGGAAATGACAGAGTAACCTCTTGGGTTGTCAAGGGATGTGTTCAGCATGCACAGCTGGCTCTTTGGGCATGCTGATCATTAAGTTCACCAGGGAACACTTGGCTTTTCAAGGCTGTACACTATGGTAATAGTGGAATCCCCATAGAAAGGGGAGATTCTGCTATGGAAAACTGTTTGGAGGTTTCTCAAACTGTTAAAAATGGAGCTCCCATAGGGCCCAGCAATCCCACTCCTAGGTATCTACCCAAAAGACACAAAAACACTGATTCAAAAGACACTTGTACCCCCATGTTTATTGCTGCTTTATTTATAATAGGAAAGACATGGAATCAACCCAAATGCCCAAAAGTAGATGACTGGATTAAAAAGATGTTGTACATATACACAATGGAATATTACTCAGCAACCAAAATAGATAAACTCATGCCTTTTGCAGTAACATGATGGACCTGGAAGGGGTCATGCTTAATGAAATAAGCCAGAAAGAAAAAGAAAAATACCAGATGGTTTCACTCTTAGCAGGAGCATAAAGGACCACAGGGAAAACGTAATAATAATGAACAACTATATACTAGAGACATTTTATGGGGGTGGAGTGAGAATGGGATCAAAAATGGGAGTGGGATGTGCACGGGACTATGGTGATGGCACACAGATGTTTTGGTGATGGGAAGTCCACAGGGATTACAACTGAGCTGGAAAAAGGCACAAAATGATGTAAACATAAACTATTATAATAAGAAAAAAAAGAAAGGGGAGGTTCCAGATTCCCTGCACCACCTAAGGAAAGGTGGACCTGAGCAGTGGCAAGGCAAATCCAGAAAAGACTGGGAAACAGACTTGGGAAAGGAAGGAAGAAGACCCAGAAGGGGCAAGTGGAGCAGAGACATGTGAAGAAGCCATGCTTACTTCTCAGCCTTAGACTTGTACCACAGACTTGGAGAACATGGAAAGAGACACTTGAAAGCACAATGGATGAGAAACCTATGGGGAGGTTGACAATGACAACCTATATCTTGACTTGTGTCTTGAAATTGCTCTTTTCCTTCCATACTTGCCTGGCCCTTCTGCCCCTTTCCTATGGTTCCCACCAGAACCTGAGATATGTGACAAGCTTTTGGACCTCAGTGGCCCCATTTTGGGCCACGTGTTTAGCTAAGCATTTATGCATGAGAGAATGGGTAACTATTTTAACTATGTTTTTTCTCTTCTCTCTTTACTGCACATTAATTGTATTGAAGTTCTTTCCCATTGGAGATCCTATGCACTGAGAGTATGCTTTGACTTTATGAGGCAGGTGGCAGAACTTATTTAGAGAAGACAGTTTGGGGGCACCCCAGGGTACCCTCATTCTGCCTGCTAACACTATTTCCATGCTCTAGCTGGCCTCCTCCAGACAGAAGAGAGTTGCATCAGTAGACAGACTGGCTAGCTCCCCCTATATTCTGAGTATAAGAAGGATGGGTCCTCTAGCACCCCACATGCTCAGGGATACATATCCTAAAGTACAGTGCAGGTGTGTCTACAGCCAAAAGAAAATCCAGACCTGGGGGACAAAGTTGTCTGATCATCTTTTCCAGTCCTACTGCCATCAGATCTGAATCCCTATGCTGAAACTCTGAGATTTTCTGGAATGTGACCCTATTTTTTCTGATCTTCATTCTCCTTATGCTCCTTGCCCTGTCCCACACACCTACCCAGAGGACGTCATATCTCAGGCATTTCCATCTCTCAGATCTGTGAAGAATTTTCTACCCTCTTAGAAATCTTTTCCTTTTCTCTGCTTATCGTCTTTTTTTGAAGATCAGTTAAAACTCCACCTTCTCCATGAAGCCTCTTCAGACTTCCCAGGAACATAATGATCCCTCCACTCTAAACATCATTTAAAATGTGCCCCTTCACAAAATGATGTGAAAATAAGCTATTATACTAAAATAAAATTTAAAGTATGTGTCCCTTATGCTGCAAAAACTGGACTGCCACATGCAAAAAAACAAAAACAAAAACAAAAAGTAGAACACATCACATCATGCACAAAAATCAACTCAAAATAGATAAGGGAATTGAACA